GATGTGGTGAAGCGGGAGGCTAACATTTTGCTGAAATAAAAACTTTAAATCAGAGTTTATGACTCTAATGTATCTTACTGTCCAGATGAAGTGATGATTCCAATAATTAAACATTAGCTTCACTTGATCCTGAGGCTTTGTTAGTTTTTAGCACATTGTCAGATGTCCAATGACCGTAATATTACTGAACCGTCATGCTGCCTCCGACCAAGTGTGCTCTCAGTAAATCTGGAGTATTTTGAATAACATTTAACTGATTTTACTGTCTCCTTATGTCCCCTTCCTGTCTCCAGGTTTGTGTCTTCACTTCAGTTTTTTTTTGATAGTTTTCTTCTGTTTGTCGTCTTTCTCCTTAACTTATTCTTGTCAGACCTCTCTTGTCCACAACATCTTCTCCGTTTTAACTCGTACCAGTAGCACCTCACGTTCGCAGTGGGAGGGATACAGGAAAATCGGGGGGGGGGGGGGGGGGATAAGGGTGGATGATGAAGGGAAAAGAATGGAACTTTGATACTCAGCGCAATAGATGGAGGGAGAGAAGATGGAAGACAAAAGGTGAACTGCTCTAGGAAAGGCAGTAACTGAGAGAGGACGGGTGAAGGAGAACATAAAAACACCAGAGGATGTGGAGTGGATTGGAGATGTGTGTGTGTGTGTGTGTGTGTGTGTGTGTGTGTGTGTGTGTGTGTGTGTGTGTGTGTGTGTGTGTGTGTGTGTGTGTGTGTGTGTGTGTGTGTGTGTGTGTGTGTGTGTGTGTGTGTGTGTGTGTGTGTGTGTGTGTGTGTGTGTGTGTGTGTGTGTGTGTGCGTGCGTGCGTGCGTGCGTGCGTGTGTGTGTGTGATCAGAGATGGATACAAGATAACCCCTCTAGGACTAAATTACTACTCATTGTGTCTCCAGCTATGTCTGCCTTATTCCTCTCACATCTCTGCCTCCACCAACACCATCGCCCAAGTCCACAGTATGTATTTGCTTTGCACAAACATTAATGTGACTAATTACAGCACTTGCCTTGAAGGACAGAGGAGAAAACTGATTTTTTGACAGCTTGGTTAGATATGTACAGCACTACTGTAGCCTTCTAAAATGTGACCTAAATTTTAAACGTGCATTTTTCTAATTCAGGAGGAAATGGTAAAAGTAAACCACCGTCATATCTAACATACACTGCCTGGTCAAAAAATGTCGCCACCTTGATAAGCAAAATAGGTAAGAATCTTCTATTGGATAATTATTTAACCTCAGCTGGTACAAGGAGTTGAGAAGGAAAACCACTAATCAGTGAGGCAAACCAGAAAAACATGCTAGGGAGCATAAAGATTGGATTCAGGAACAGTGGAAGGCAGCCACATGGTCTGATGAGTGATGGTGCATCAGGGTAAGAAGAGAGGCAGATGAAGTGATGCACCCATCATGCCTAGTGCCTACTGTACAAGCCTGAGGGGGCAGTGCTATGATCTGGGCTTGCTGCAGTTGGTCAGTTGTGCAGCAGTTAGACAGGATGTGCTCCAAGAATGAGGTCATCTGACTACTGTACCTGAATATCCTGAATGACCAGGTTATTCCATCTTCCCTGCGGGCATATTCCAAGATGACAGTGCCAGGATTCATCAGGCTCCGATAGTGGAAGAGTGGTTCAGGGAGCATGAGACATCATCTTCACACATGGATCGGCCACCACAGAGTCTGGACCTTAACCCCACTGAGGATCTTTGGGATCTGCTGGAGAAGACTTTGCGCAGCGGTTAGACTCTACCATCATCAATGCAAGATCTTGGTGAGACATTAATGCAACACTGGATGGTAATAAATCTGGTGACTTTGCAGAAGCTTATCGAAACAATGCCACAGCGAATGTGTGCCATAATCAAAGCTAAAGGTGGTCCAATGAAATATTAGTGTGTGTGTGTGTGTGTGTGACCTTTCTTTTTTGGGCCAGGCAGTGTGTTTATTCTTCCAACCTCTTTTTCTCATGTTTTTATAACTTTTTATTATTAGTTTAAAGCTGGAAATCTAACATGTTTGCATGTTTTATAAAAAAGTACAGTTTTAATGAAAACATGATGCAGACTTTAAATTTAGAGCTATTAGCTTTGCAGCTTTTAATTATCTGTCTTTTTATCCATCTGCCTCGTCTCTCGCTCAGTTGCCCCTGACAGCCACATTCAGTTCCTCCTCCTTCCCATCTTTGCACTGTCATTCATCATCATCATCATCATCATTCGGCGTTGCCCTTCCACACGGCACAACATCTGTTAGGGAGTGTGGCTCTTACCATGTAGACGCAGATTTGGATTTATCGTGCAAGGAAGTGCCTCTAACCTGCAGCATGTTTAAAGATAGTTTTCACAAATGATTGTGGGTAACAGCAATGAGGAAACGCAGTCACGGCAGTATTGGATTCCAGGGTCCTAAAACATGAGACATAACTTAATTTTATCAGACAAGCCTGTTAGTTTTTTGATATATTAGGACTAAAATCTTTACCTAATGGAAAGCCAGTGGTTAGTCACATGGTTCGTGTTTTGTCTGGGCTCTTTTGCTGAAGAGTTCATGCGTCTCAGACTTGTTGTATGTTACAACTTTTGACACTGGCCTCATTCTTGCTTCACTTTAAGTGACATTCTGGATTATGAATATGAAAAGCAATGACTCTCAAGACACCCACCAGTTCATTTAAACTATTTCATGGAATTAAAACCATAAAAAATGTTCAAGGTATTTTCTTACTCGTATCATTCGTGTAGATGGAATTTAGCGCTGAAACTCCACCTGAACATGTTTTCTGGTGTGTTTAAAACCCTATTATTCCTTGATAGAATACATTACCCATATGTTTCCTGACAGATTTGTACACTAAAGCTGGCTGGACACTGCACACATTTTTTTGTTGTATTCAGCTCCAGCTCAGACTGTATTACTGTATATTCAGTAATTCATGACCCTTGATTCATGTGTGACTGTATGATTGCTCACTATACATGCGTGCACACTTGATATGTCGCCCGTGTGTGAAGGGAACTGTTATGCTGGTGTCTGTTATCATTGTGACTTGCCGTAGTTGTAGGACATGTAGGGATATAAGGAGCCTAAGTCACGCCCACCTACTTCCGGACCACGGGTCCCCGGAAGAACGAAATGCAAGTCAAAGGGGCTAAAAATGCTATTTTCTAATTCCGCTTGCTATGTGCCGTGGATTTCACAAATGATGTCTGTGAATTTTAAAGACACATTTTAATCCCAAGAACGCACTTGTTTTCGAACAAGGGGAAACATTATTTTAGATTTTGTTTGAAAATACGTCCAGGACTACAAATACGCATCATGAAAGTGGCGTCATCGAACCAGACACAGAGAAAACTGAGGGAAAAGGGCTGTAAGTTCAGCAAACTTCCCATAGGAGGAAAGAACCATCAGAGATCTGGTCATCTGGTAAGTAGCAGCTATTTTGGGGAAAGGAAGATTATGTGGTGACGTCACACATGCGACGTGCCGATTTCTGGTGTGTAGTCATGCTAATTACGAACTTTTACAAGCTGATAAATCTCAAAGTACGTGACTGGCGTGGTCGAAACGCCATCATGACTTTTCATTTAAATTTCAGTTCAACATATGTGTGATCCAGGGCCTAAGACAAAGCAGACTAGAAAATAGCGTTTTTCACCCATGGTGCGGAAGTAGACTTAGGATCCCTTTATGGGTGCTCGAGGTTGAAGAAGAATGAAGGGCATGTAGGAAGTAAGAGCCACAATAAAATGAGGTTCATAAAGTAGTTGCTTAGGCTTACGCTTGTTTGTACTCGAGTTCAGATTAAGCAAGACAGGAAGTAAAACATCCATAAACTTTCAAAATGAAAGTCAAATGCAGATTTCCAGTTGCTTAACTAGTGTGGAAAGGTGAAGAAAAGAGGTCCCGGACGGGATTCGACCCCCAGACGCCCGGGTGAGTCACGCCTGCTAACCAGTCAGCCAAAGGGACTTCCCCATGGCCAAGTAGTTAGGGCACGTGATCAGTTGGGATGCAGTGACAGGAAACTCACCCTATAACACTAGTAAAAACAAGTTTGCCATTAACTGAAACCTCCATATTCAAGGTAAGCAGTACAGAAAGTAAACCACAGACTTTTTTGGAACATGCTGCCATCTTTCTCCCTTGTTTTTTTATTGTGTTAAGTGCTGAAATCACACCTGGTGTTGCAGTTCTCGGGAGATTTAGTGACCTGATGCGATCTGCTACGTGAAACGCTTTTGATGCTGGGTTGCGTCTGAAACGTCTTTATTACGTTACACGCCACTTATGCGTCCAGTGGAAAGGCTGGCTTAGAGCCAATAGTAGGTTTTTAGGACCCCATAGGGGGTAACGATCCCCTACTCACTAGTAACACTAGTGAATGTTAAACTAATCCTGATTGCTTCTGAGAATATGTTAGTGTTTTCTTCCTGATGGAAGTCTGGATCCTCTCGGCAGCTAAAACTCTCATGTTGATTTATGTTTTCTTTCTGACCTCAATGCATGAAAAATAAATCAAACCATACTCCTGGATTGTGAAGGTTTGTGTTTCTACCCATTTAAATGCATAAAAAGTGATGTATTATTCCATCAGAATCACTAATAAGGAACTGGTGTACTTTCTAAAGCTGAATGTGGCCTGCTGAATTTAGGACACGCAGGAGCCTGTTTGGTGTATCCTAAGAGTATGAAAAATAATGAAATATTTATCCAAAAGAGAGCTGACACATCTTAGATCAAGTTAAGTGTCATTTAAAAAAAAAGACATCAGACCGACAAGTACAGCTTGGATTTGTGTTTGCTTGTGATAAACAAACAGTTTGGACACAACAGCAACGATTCCCTCTGCTGCGAGACTCGATGCTGCTCTCAGAGTCAGCTTTGAGGTGGAGCGAAAATATTAAAATGAGATCATTTTAGAAAACAAAGCCTTTTGTTTGTATCAGACATTGATGCTTGTTGATCTAACGGTTTGTGTTTCTTTCTGGCAGATGGTGATGGCTATCAGGACCACCTCCTCCCCGTGTGTTCAGAAGAATCCTGTAAAACCAGTGCCATCTACCTGGCCAAGCCGGGCTCAAAACAGGTACACACCTTGCTATTTCTCTATCGTTAAATAAAGGTTAAACAAACAAAACAACAAACAAAACACAAGCAGATTTTGTTTAAGCTCCCACTTCGGTGTTGCATTGCTGTGTCTGCAGTAAAGGTAGAGATTCAAGACCAAAATCTCTGGTGACCAGAAAGACCAGCTCACGTTTTCCAAAAACATCTAGATGATCCCTGAAAATGTTAAACTCATTCTGTGGACTGACGCTGCAAAATTTGTTCCGCCAGCAATAAAACTAATAACCAAGAGTCAAGCAGGGTGTGGTAGTGTCGTGATCGGGGTCTGCTTTGCTGCTTCAGGACCTTAACCCCTGGAAGTCCTCTTATTCGGTGCAAATGTGGACCACAGTGGTGTGAGGGACTCACTACCAGTTATTACTGACACTTGAGCACAGTTGCTGCCAAGTGTTACTACCAGTTATTAATTAAGCTGTTATTACAGGACCATAGCGTTTGCAAAACGGGATTTGCCGCGGATCCCTGGGGAGGATTTTGGCATTTATAGTAGCAAAGCTGAAGCTACAATAAACTGCCATCAGCCACCTCTCCAACCAAGATGGGATAAAGGGAGGTCGCTGGGCGGCCCCCCGCATGTGACGTACAGGGTCGCACATTCAGCTTCAGACAGAGGTGGAAAGAGTACTAAAATTTCCTACTTAATTATGAGTACCAATACATTGATAATTTTTTACTCAAGTACAAGTAAAAGTACTTGCCTAAATTTTTACTCAAGTAAGAGTAAAAAGTATCGTAAATAAAATGTACTCAAAGTAAAAGTTACTTAGTTACATTTTTGTCGGCACAAAGATGGCTACATCAATGCAAAATCACAACACCAGTTTACAACACGCTCGTGTGCGCGCACACACACACACACACACACACACACGCACACACACACACACACACACACACACACACACACACACACACACACACACACACACACACAGTTTGATGGAGGAATTTCTATCCAATCAGTGAGAACAGTACGTGCACGTTGATTGGACGAGGTTTTCTAGGCTTGTACGTTTCAACTGGGATTAAAATTATTTTTTATTTTGAAAAAAGAAAAAAAGTTAATTTTTAGATGCCATCAGTGTGTGAGGTATCTCAATGTTCTCATGACAAAACTCTAACATGAGACTGTGCTCTAACCTGTCACATAACAAGCTAAATGAGAGTCAGACATTTCAGATGGACCGTATGACAGCTGCTAACGATGGCCCTGCCCTACTTTACCTCTACATTACAGTTCCTTTATCCATGTCCATCCTAGAGCTCCTCTCTGACCTTCATGCTTATTTAGAGCAGCTGATTTTTAAAGTTGGCAGAGTTCATCCTTGGTAGTGGGCTATTTATTTCGCACATTCATTGAGCAGTTACATTTGTTGTATTCTTTCAAATTTCACAACATTACAACAACAATGCTCAAATGGAGTAGGCTGAAGGAAAGAAGCGAATGTGCACCTACCCCACATTACAATGTTCACTCACTCATTTAACCCTTCACCACTGAAATCAGTTTGTTCATTCCAATCCTCCTAAATAATCCTCCAATCATCCAACTGGAATCCTTAAGGGTCCCGTAACGTCCATCCTGTCAGAACAGGCCTTGGGAGCCCAGGTGTTACTAGAACTAATGGTGTCTCCTCACCAGCGTGAGCCTCCAAACTGTGAAGGTTGGTCTCCAAACATGAACTTTAAATTCATGCATTTATCTCCTCTTGTAACACTTTAACATTTTTTAAAAGGATTGTATCATGATAAGTTACACCTCCCAGACCAAAGATAAGATAAAATATTATCATAAACACTGCAGAAACGTCATTATTTATGAAATATGTTATCTTCCTGAGCCGTTACTTCAGCCAAGATATAGGATGCATGGATTTGATGAAACCACGCTGTCTCATGCAGTCCTATAGTATCTCACACACACACACACACACACACACACACACACACACACACACACACACACACACACACACACACACGCACACACACACACACACACACACACACTGCAGCATGTTAGAATCTTTTGAATGACTAATTTAACTACATTGAACTGCTTTAGTAATACTTTAATCTCTTATTCTGGATTAAAATAAAGAAACAAGCTGAATCATCACATATCTGTGGCATCAAGAAGACCTGCTTTTTGTCCCGCTTGACGTCCCGCTCAGCCAGTGTTTTCACAACTCTGTCGAACAGCTGGCTGTCTCTCACCGTCCCCGTAAAGAGGCGACTAATCTGTTCGTCCGCTCGCATGGCCAAAAGCTCCATGGTCTCCGCGTCCGTCCAGTTTGCCATGTTGTAGGTTGTTGACAGATACTAATGAGAGGCCATGTTTATCTGTGTTTATATCCCTTCCGGACGGCACTCGGCGCGCAGTATTTGTCACTAACGCGACCACCCTCTTTTGCGGGGGGGCCTCCCACAGTCGCTCCAAAGGGATTAGTGGGGCTGATGCGCGTTTATCCGCCTGAGGCAAGGGGCTCATGCGGCAGTATTACTACGAGGCTAAGCGCATCAGAATCGAGTTTTATCACCTTTCCCCTTTGCTCCTTGCCGCATTTACCAGACCCACAAATTTGGATTTATCACTCTGTAATGGCGCAATGGCCTGTCTTATAAAAGAGGCTTTTATGACTTTGTCACATAGAACCACATTGGTTTGGAAAGCTTTTTACTGTTGAATGAAATCCTTTTAAAACATATTTTTCCCAGGTTTTCTTTGCCTCATATAACAGCGGTGTTTGCTTCTCTGAAGCATTTAAGTGTAACAATGAAAACAAATATTCTCTGGTGACAGAGACCTTTTCAGCAGTATGGAAGAGCTAATGGCCTACAGGTGTACAGGCCACACACGTAGACCCAACAACCCATCTGCCCGTTTCACCAACAGCTTCCTGTTGCTTCTTCAGATCTCTGCTCTGTGTTTGTAGAATAGTTAGTTTGTACCGTTTTACCATGTGAGCTGTTTAGCGTTCACACAGCAGCAGTTATTTCCCTGCAACGCAGCACACTGTTCTCCCTTAAACTACCTATTTCAGGAAGGCATCAGCCATTTGGCTCCCTGCAGGAGACCTTTTCTGATTAGAAAGATGTTGTGGATCCAGCTCTTGTCACTTTGTTTGTGATGTGACAGAAACACACACACAGATACACAGTTTCCCTCACCATTCATGCAATCCTGTGCATATGCACGGGTCTGTTCACACAGTTACGCTCACACAAACACACACATGGTCATCACCATCACCCCCTACATAACATTTGTGTGATTCGTTTCTGTTTCTGCTCCGTTGGCTGAAGGCTCCCCTCTTTCTTCTTTCCTCTGACACGAGAAAGCCAGCCTCCATGTGTGTTTCCCCAGTCCAACACAGAAATATTACAGGTTTATCTGCATGTCCACACCCCTTTGAAACACACACACACACGCACACACGCACACACACACACACACACACACACACACACACACACACACACACACACGCACACACACACACACACACACACACACACACACACACACACACACACACACACGCACACACACACACATAAAAGACATACATCTAGAAATGTGCAGATGCGTGCTCTCTGTGGACGTCCTTCTGTTTGCCTGTCAGCTAGAAATGGGAGTGATTGAAGGAACAAGTGATAGGAGGAGAGGACACTGATAGATGAAGTAAACACACGTTGTTGTTTTTGTGTTGCTGTGCGTTTGAGAGACAGTCATTACTGTCAAACAAAGAGGCAGGCAAAAAGGGACGAGTGGGTGGAAACCAGTTTCTCTCCCTGTTACATCCCAGCATTCAAATGGAACTGGGAGCTTACATACTTGATTTTGCGTTGAAATGAAAATAAAAACCGCTAACTGGAGCTAGCGTTTGATAAAACAGGCTTTATTGAGGCTCTCTGACTGCCTTTGTTGGTGGGTTGCTGTATTGAAAAATGTAGCTGAAAATGCAAGTGATGTCATTCTTTCTTGTTTAGACTCATTTAAGCCATTCAGACAACAAATAACACCAAATACGGTATGTTGTGATGCACCTGGTTTATAAACTGTGTGACTCTTTAGTCTTTTTGGAAACAGTGTAAAACCACAGGCTCTTTAAATTGGCTGAAGGCTAAGTGTATAACCCAGAAAAAGGCAATAAAGGAGAAATGTAAAGAGATCTCATCATAGCTAGAAGTGGCTAAAAGACATTTGTAGTGAAGGGCGGGGGTGAATGTAAACACGTGCTTTATTGTACCTCCAGACAGTATCAGCAGAAGCCAGAAGCATTGTAGAAACAAGTGATGATGTAAACTGTTGTAAGAGATATCCCTCATTAAATAAAAAAGGTAAGTGCACACCTTTCCTTCGGTCCTTCAGTTTGGAACATGTTAGAAACAAGTCAGTGTTCTTGTGAACGTCCGTGCAAATTCAGCTCACCGTGCAAGCAGAAGGAAGACCTAAAGCTGAAACTGTCGGACTGTTCTTCGTGTTTCCGTGACTTGAACACATCTTAAACACGTGAATCACAGATTAAAGGATCAGGTAAATTAACAACAAATACGTCTTACCTGGCCACAAACAAGAAAAAGATCGACAAACTTAGCTGCAAAAATTTCAACAAAGGTTCAAAACATATTTATCCGTGCTGCGTTTTCATAAAACTAAATTTGCAACCAAGAAACGATACACAAGAACAGGTCTAGTGCAAAACATTTTCAATAGAAAATTATCAAACAAAACCTGCCACACAGCAGATGCTTTTAACACTCTCTCAGTACCTCAGCAGTGAGCAGCAGAAAGCATTTTCAACCATTTGAATTAAAAAACATGAATTAACCTTTCGTTTTCTCTGCTCTGGGTCTGCACGAGGAAGGTGATGAGCGGTGGTAGTTTGTTGGACTTCACAACCAGCAGTTATCTTCGTAAGCAGTGGTCTTTCAGTCTGTTCTTCACACACAAAC